CTCTTCCTTTACTCCTCTCTAAGGTCTCCTAGGGTTTTGAGTGTTAAAATGGGGCTAAATGGGCTGTCTTTAAGTATTTATAGTGAAAGGAAAGTCAATTATACGCGACTTAAAATTTTTAGATTTTTCGAAGACCTTCCGGAAGGTTGTTCGTCGACCTTCCGGAAGGTTTGCCTATTTGACAAACCATTTTCATTAACCTTCCAAAAGGTTGTCATCGACCTTCTGGAAGGTTTTGTCTACTGGACAATCACCTTCTTTAACCTTCCAGAAGGTTTGTCTTCTGGACAAACATTTTCATCAACCTTCCGGAAGGTTTGTCATCGACCTTCAGGAAGGTTTGCCTATTAGGCCAACTTTTCCAGAGATCTTCCGAAAGGTTTTGCCTACTGGTTAAATCTTTTACCTTAACCTTCACGAAGGTTTTGTCTGTTTGTCTACAAAACCTCCCTTTTCATTTCCAATCCATTCCAAACCTTTTCAATTCCAACCCAAGCTTATCCAATATGTTTTTGTACATCAAACCTAGTTGGTACAAATTCTATTACAACGATTTCTTGTATTTGCAAGCTAAACTAAGTTTTAATTACTATTTCCTCGAATTTCCATATTAACATTTCTAAAATAAATAATAACTTGCTACAAAAACCTATATACATATATAAAGATAAAAAAAGTGGAGTTTACAATTACAAATCATTTTAGAAGCATCTATCAGTTAATATAAATTTTAATTTATGATGTTATCGACATGAGAAAAAGCATGGAAACCAGTAGTGTGATTTGATCTATGCATATTTCATTGTTATAGGGATTCATTGTCTTGAGCAGGTATCATATGTAGGGGTGGAGCCAGGCAAGTTTTGTACGAGGCAACTTAATCCATATAAATATTCAAAATCCAAATGTTCACAAAAAGAATGTCATCGCCATCACTACTAACACTATCACCACCACCACCACCATTGTACCACTGCCACCATCACCACTACTGTCGCCACCATTACCACCACCACCACCATTGTGCTGCCGTCACCATCACCATCACCATCACTATCACCACCACTACCGTTGTGCCACCGCCACCACTACCACACTATTGTTACCACCACCTCCACCACCACTACCATTATGTCACCACCACAACCACCACCACCATTGTTGTTGTCACCGCTACCACCATTATTACTATTGTCGTCACCGTCACCATCACCACCATTACCATAACCACCATTGTGTTGCCGTTATCACCACCACCATTGTGTCGCCATCACCATTACTACCACTGTCATTGTCACCACCACCAACACCATAATGTTGCCGCTACCACCACAATCACTACCACCATTGTTGTTGTCACCACTACCATTGTGCCATCGCCATTGCATTGCCACCACCACCACCACTACCACTATCGTTGTCGATACCACTACCACCACTATTGTGATGGTGGTGATAGGAATAAGATAGTTGGAGAGAGATGGTTAAAAAGAAGGGTAAAGTTGACACCACTTGGGAAAATTTTGACTGGCCAACATGTGAAGACTTCTTTATTAATTAAGAGTTTGAATATGAGAAAGGATACTTCACATTGAATATTTGTTTGGAGATTGGTCGTAGGCATTTAGCCTTGGACTATAGTTCGACGACATCGAAGGTTTGCTCTATTTTGTGTCTTCTTCGAGTAAGGAGTTTTGAACACTATTAATTTTGTAATAGTGATAGAGCAAATACGTTCTCTTGTTGGCTTTTGTTTCGACAATTTTGTAATCTCCAATATTTAATAGTGAAATCTTGCCGCTGTATTTTGTTCGTGGACGTAGGCTTATTTGTTGAATCGAACCACGTAAATCTTTGTGTTCTATTTTTTCTATTTCGTTACCTTATTATTTTGCTTGTGATTTTTTGGTTCATATCGATATATATTACGAAATAAAGAGGTGTGAGAAAAAAACAAATTGAGTAATATAGAGATAATTAAATGTGGGGTTAGTTTTCAAAATCGTTTTTAGGAAATTTATTTACAATAAAAGAGTATTCAAATCTTTTTATATTTTAAGTGGACTTTTTTACAAATATTGTTTTTATGTACTTTTTTGACAATTAAATTTAATTTGTGTATCGAGTTCTAAAATTCTCTTTTAACGACACCACTTTAGATATAATTCATAAACAGGCCCAATGAATATGGCTTTTTGCATGTTAGGTCACTTAGAAAGCAAAATTCAATAAAATCTTACTTANAATGTGGCTTTTTGCATGTTAGGTCACTTAGAAAGCAAAATTCAATAAAATCTTACTTAAGAAGCATAGCATCTCTCTTTTCTCTTTTTTGCGTTGGACTCCCTCTCTCTCTTTCTCTTCGTTGCTCCGAGTGGGAGAAAGAAAATGGTGGCTCGGAAATTCCTCGTTCGCCACAATGATTCCGACTTCGACCTCGAATACGACACGGACGATGGGTTTGAAGTCTCTTTCTCCCCCTATTCTATCGCGGACATACACACACTGAAGACTTTGAACTTAAAGTTGAATCTTTTCTCTTATTTTTTTCCTTATCAGGTTCTCAAATTCCAGCTATTCTCTCTAACTTCAGTTCCTCCCAATGAACAAAAGGTCAATGTCTCTTTGTATTCTCTGGAAATGTGTGTATATTTATTTGTATTTGCGTAAGTGCCGATTGGAATTTGTATTAAATTGATGATCAATGGCGTGCTAAGATATTTGGCGACCAAGATGATCGGCTTGTATCGGACGACTCTGATCTCATTACAATCTCCAATAAGCTGCGGTTGGTGTCACTCAACGGAGAAGGCAAAGAAGAAGAAAGANTGATCGGCTTGTATCGGACGACTCTGATCTCATTACAATCTCCAATAAGCTGCGGTTGGTGTCACTCAACGGAGAAGGCAAAGAAGAAGAAAGAGAAAAAGAAGGAAAAAATTCGGAATTAGAGAAATCCGACGAAGAATTCGCTCGGATGTTGCAGGTTCTCTGCTAGAATTTGAGGCATTTTGTTTTCTTGTGTTAATGGTNGAGAAAAAGAAGGAAAAAATTCGGAATTAGAGAAATCCGACGAAGAATTCGCTCGGAAGTTGCAGGTTCTCTGCTAGAATTTGAGGCATTTTGATTTCTTGTGTTAATGGTTTTTCTTTGTTTTTCTTATAAACAATTGGTTTTCTGTAGGCAGAGGAAGAAGCACTTTTGTTTCAGCAGTTCTCTGCCAGTAACGATGAGGGACAAATGGAGAAGAAAATACGGCCTTATGTTGATCAGGTCCTAATGGTAATTGTTAAAATCACGATCTTTTTCTCATCTGATGATTTTCTGTGTATTATTGTAAATCTCCGTATATTTTGTGAGAATGCGGGGTGAAAGAAAAAAAAGCATGAAGGAATTTTTTATTTTCTTTGTTACTTTGTTCTGAGAAGTTGAGCCAGATGGCCTGCTAAGTGGTAATGTTGTTTGGTTGGTTCTATTACCAAAAACTTGGTATATTTTTTTCAAGCATTTGGCTAACCAACATAAAACATTTTATTTCCAAAAACTTGAAATCACTTATTAAGCATTTTCTGGTAGCCAAATATATTGGGCTTGGTTTTGGTTTATAAAGTACAAGGAAGAAAAATGTTGATATTAACTTGACATGGTACTGGTTTAGTATGAAGACTCACATCGTCAGGAGGCTGCTCGGAATACAGTGCCTGTGGAGAAACTTGAGGAGAAGGCATTAGTTGCATTGGCAAAGGTTGGACCCTGAACTCTGCCATCAGATACTGTGCATTTATACTGCCTGTTAAAGATTGAGGGATTCTATTCTTTTTTTCTTTTGTTTTTCCCGCTTAAAGGAAGATGTGAAAGGGGAAAGTAAACAACTTAAAGGATTTACCCATGAAGGCTATAGCAAGAAAAAGAAAGAGAGAAGGCTCGACAGATAATACTAATGTCCTTAGAAAGAAATTTCAGTTAGTGACTTGAAGTTGACATGGAATTAGTTGTTGGATTAAGCAGGTTTGACTTTTTCAGTTAAATTTTGTCAGGAATTTGGCGGGGTGGACCCCATAGGAGTAGGTTCTTGAGATGAATATATTATTTGATTGCCAAATATGGTTATCATGGATGTAATCCTAGAAATATATAAGAATTGTTGACTGTTATATTCATACATACGAACATGTTGAAATGTCAATTCAGTTAATGAATGAATATTAAAAAAATGGCTTACACTAGTTGTTTAAGTGTCATTGTTTTGTTCTTCTTGTTGTCGTTGCAGCTTTACAGGATGAGTGAAATAAAATTTCATATGGACATCGCAAAGGTATTAGGATTGTAGATATCCTAAGCGTCTCATAGACCGGTGTTGGATGACCCGGAACGGGGCGGTTTGTGATCCAGATTGCTCTAATTCCCGACCTCAAGTTGCATCTCAAACCCCAAATGGACCCCTATGAAACTCTGATACTACGTTTAGGTCACCGTATCCATAAAAGTACCGTATCAGATATGATACTCATCGGATACTAGAGAATAATTATTGGATACACATTAAACTTATCAAATAATTAATAAAATATTTGTTTATTTTTTGATATGTGTTGGTTACACATCACACATATCCAATAATTAATAAAATATTTTTTTTTATAAAAATTTTTGGATACATCTTCGACATGAATATCAAACATGAATATGCTTTGGATATAAAAATGGATACAAACAATACATCTTTACCCTTTTCTTTCGAATTCACATAAAAAAAATTCATATGACATTTAAGACACTTGAATGTTTCTGAAATACTAGCAATGCACAACATGCCTTGCACATGAATATATTTACATAGTAATTTTTTATATGAAAAGTTTAAATTATATTTGTAATTAAATTGAATAATAAAAAGTGTGGAATAATTAATTCTTATTGTAATTATGGTTAAAACTAATTATTGATTTATTCCACCTCTCTTTGAGTACCTAATTTATTATTTTTTAGTTATCTCCCTGGCCCTTTTAGATGTTTCCTATTTCAATTATAATAGAGCTTTATTATAAGATTGTCATTCTTGAGTATTTGCACATCGAATTGAAATATAGATTTATTATATTTTTTTGTCAAAGAGATTGATTAAATTGTAATACTATTATTTGNATTATAAGATTGTCATTCTTGAGTATTTGCACATCGAATTGAAATATAGATTTATTAAATTTTTTTGTCAAAGAGATTGATTAAATTGTAATACTATTATTTGTGTTATCATATTATGATATTGTTGCAGACCGATATTGGACTTTACTTCTTCATATAAGTATAAATAGATATGGAAAACTGTACAAGTCTAAAAGATTTTAGAAGTCAAATACTACTAATAAAAAAGTCTAAAAGAACTTGGAAGTCAAATAGTTGTATAAAATAAAAATTGGATGAAATTAATTTTATGGACATAATTGATTTTATAATAATAATTAGGGATAAAATAGAAAATCAAAAGTTATATATATTAATAAGTAATATAGATCATTTACTATCACATATAAAAAGTGCATAAGCTGAGTTAATTACATCCAATTTCTTGACAAGTACTTTTAATTAGCTACGTTCAATTTTATGGCTATACTAAGTTGAGATAATTTATGCTTATTTGAAAGCAAAAAAGTTGATTGTTTTATGAATTGCTGCCAAAAAATTTACTAAAAATCACAATTATCAAATCTCAATAGTAAACTATAAAATAAATTTTATTGTAGGTGTATCCTTATTATATCCATATCCTATTTTTTTGAAGTTTTATTGTATTGCTGTGTCCGTATTATATTGTATTGTACCCGTATCTCGTATTCATATTTGTGCTTTTTNTGTAGGTGTATCCTTATTATATCCATATCCTATTTTTTTGAAGTTTTATTGTATTGCCGTGTCCGTATTATATTGTATTGTACCCGTATCTCGTATTCATATTTGTGCTTTTCAGATGGATCCACAATCCAAAAAATTCTAAATTATAATTCTAACCCCAAATTGTAACACCAATTGCTATTTTCTTTATATTGGTGATCCTTAAACTTTATAGTTTGATTTGTTATAATTTGAATTTTTTTCAAAATACAAATATGCCACCACTAACGTTTATTGTTTACAACCAATAACCATTAGTTGGTACTCTGGACGTTTTCTTAGATTATAGTTCGCTTTGAAACTCTTATCAGAACATTAAATAAATACTAGATGATTATGTGTATATGGATAGGTAGCTGTATATAACTCCATACAATAGTGAAAGTGATACAAATAAGTTATTAATTGAATCAAGACATAAAAAAACAAATCATCTTAGTTTACATCAATTGCATTGCAAATTGGGAGAAATATCCTATATCTCCTTATCATGTACCAAAGTGACTTGCGATCCAGGCTATAGAGGATTATTGAAGTCTTCTAAGCAATTGCATGAATTCTTTTTTTGTTTGTCTGGGAATGTGGTGTCTGCCTTATCATTTTTTAGGTTGTCACTTATGAAGCACGAATACTTCGTTAAGTTTGACATATTGGTATCAGATATAATACTCGTCGGATATGTATTAGATACACACCAAACAAGTCCAAAAATAAATATCTATATGGAGAGAAGTATGTGTAATTTTTAGTTTTAATCTTTACTCCTTTCTTGTGATTTCACATACAATGCAATTCATCAACAAAAAATCATGACTCTGAAGACAATGCACAGGTGTTTTCCAAGTATTATCCATTATCATATGTTCGACAACTATAAATGAGTTGATTACTCTATAATCTTAGCAACAAATACTTCTAATCAAACAATCTGGTTAAATGTTGGTTCTTATTCCTTTAATAAATCACGTTCATTTTGGAGATGTACCATAGTGAGACGATAGGTAAGTTATCTTCGTCCACCTAAGCAGGTTTATATTGGCCATTCCATAAGACCCACAACAAAATGTTTTTGTTAGAAGATACTATTCAAACATTGTGCTTGTAAACATGATTTTAGATCATCCTGGTTGTCAACTACGTTAAGATGAAATGATGAGTGTATCAATGGTGTTCGAAAGATATGAGGATTACTAGTAACTGTAGCGTTTGAATGATACTTGAATAATCAGCTTGTAGTTGTATTTTATCTAAAATACTCATCATTTTATCTGTGTGGTGNCTAGTAACTGTAGCGTTTGAATGATACTTGAATAATCAGCTTGTAGTTGTATTTTATCTAAAATACTCATCATTTTATCTGTGTGGTGAATCAGTCTTTTGGGCAAATTCTAGACTTTGCTACTTCAGTTCTTGCCGAACGCCTCTGCCCATATTTTTAAACATCAATTTATCTATTTTTGTCACCACTTTCNGTATCAGTCTTTTGGGCAAATTCTAGACTTTGCTACTTCAGTTCTTGCTGAACGCCTCTGCCCATATTTTTAAACATCAATTTATCTATTTTTGTCACCACTTTCGCAAATTAGTTACCATCTGCATGTATGTATTGAGCCGAACGCCTCCATAGGTTATGCACATATTTCTAAACATCAATTTTATCTATTTTTCTCACCACTTTCGCAAATTAGTTACCATGTGCGTGTATGTATTGATGTGTCTGCTTTTAAGATTTTTTTGCTAAAAAAAAATAAAAATGTATTGATGTGTCATATTAAGATTGATTGAAGAAGAAAAAAATCTGTAGAGTTCATTTTGTAGGGCTTCAAGTAGTTTGTTGTTGCTGCATGTAAATAGTTTTACCTCTTGAATTTCTGTAAAATGGCTCAGCGATTTGCTGTTCTTATATCCTGCCTATCTATTTTTAGGAGGGAAACTTCAAACCATCAAAAAGTGAACAGGATCATGCTTTTCTTCTGCAGTTGCTTTTCTGGTTTAAGCAGTCATTCAGGTCTGTTTTTTCAGTCTCCTGTCCTTACCTCTGGGATTTCCCCTTATACTTGGTGGATGGATGTCTTGTTATATCTTTTAAAGAAAAAAATATGATATTCTTTCTGTGTTAAGTGTGTAGCAATAAAGGATTCCAGTCTATGGCAGTGTAGGCTTTTCTAGAAATATCTTTGATTAGAAAATACCATTTCCTGTAGATGATAGATGAGCCTACTGAGTTGAGTTCTAATAAGCACGCCAACTTAGCAAAGTAGAATTTAGATCTCCCGCTTTGTAATCTGTCAATATACTTCCTTTCTCCATAGACAACATGGTGAAACACATGCCTCAGAAAGAGGGCTCTCCCCTCAACCTCTTCATAGGGAATGAATATGAATTGGAATGGAGGTGCATGGAAGAATAATGAGTCGTTTGAAAAGATGAAGCTGTAGATTTATGAAGAACAGAAAGCCTATTAAAGAGGCTGTGTGTTATTATAATGCCCTTCTTATATTTTTAGAGTTGAGGAACCTCTTCATATATTTTTATCTTCTTGTTCCTGTTGTCCATTGGGAAATCCCTATGTTCTCGACATGTTGACATGCTTTGCATGAATGGAGAAAGATTAAAGGCCCCTAGCTGTATCTTTCGCATAATTGTTTGTAACGTTTGAGTTACTCTTGAGAAGAACGTTTTTTCGATTCCACTACACAGCCTGTACCAAAAGTGACATTATCTCATCATTCACTGCATCACCTTACCTTCTGGAATTAATGATGCTGTCTTATAAGCTATTTCTAAGCTTACCATAGTCATGGAGGAAAAAGCAATTTGCCAAGGAGCGTGGGCAGTTTTTTAAAAGGTGAGTGACCAATTTGGACACATATTAGACGCCGCGGCGGCGGTGACACAATGGTGTTCAAGTGTTCTTCTCAACCACAAAAAACTGTCCAAATCCACATGATTCTTCATCAACCTCAAACACAAAAATCTTCTGATTAAGAATCTTCAAACAGAGGAAGTCATGAAATGACTAAAAGCAAAACAACTTTAGTTTTGGTAAGC